CTGGGCTCTGATAAGATGTGCGCAAGGTAGCCTGGCCTGGTTCGCCTGAGACATCCTCGCAACTCGGGGCTTCGAGATGCCGCGCGCGAGGAGGTCCAGCCCGTTTCGCCGCAACCATCCTCGCAATTCCAGGCTCCAAGATGCCGCTCGCGAGGTGCTATGGCGTGCCTCGCCTGAGACATCCCCGCAAATTTGGGCTTCAAGATGCACCGCGAGAGGTGGTCCAGCCAAATTCGCCAGACACCTCCTCGCAACTCTGGGATCTGAGCCAGCCCGTGTTGCTTGAGAAAGCCTCGCCACTCTGGGATCTTGGATGCCGCACGGGAGATGGTCCGCCTCGTTTCGCCTGAGACATCCTCGCAATTCTGGGCTCCGAGATGCCGCGCGAGAGGTGGTCCAGCCAAGTTCGCGTGAGGCATCCTCGTAACTCTAGTCTGTGTGAAGATATGCGAATTGGGTTCTGCTTCGCTGAGACATTCTTGCTTTTCCAGCGCGTCCCGCTTGAGACAACCTCGCAACTCTGGGCTCCGAGATGCCGCGGGAGAGGTGGTCCAGCCCGATTCGATTGAGGTATCCTCGCAACTTTGGCGCTCAGAAGGTATGCGCGAGGTTGTCTGGCCCATTTGACCTGAGATATCCTCGCAATGCGGGGTTCTTAAATGCTGCGCGCGAGGTGGTCCGCCTCGTTTCGCTTGAGTCATCCTTGTAATTCTGGGCTCCGAGAGGAGGGGCCAGACGCAAGCAAACTATTCGATTTCACCTCTGATGTCGAACTCTACTCAAGGAGAGTTCTGGGCGTCGCCTGAGACATCCTCGCAACTCAGGCCTCCGAGATGCCGCGCGCAAGGTGGTCCAGCCCGTCTCGCTTGAGAAATCCTCGCAACTGTGGACTCCGACATGCCGCGCGTGAAGTGGTCTGGTGCGTTTCGCATGAAATAGCCTCACAAATCTGGGCTTCCAGATGCATCGCGAGAGGTTGTCTGGCCCGTTTCACCTGAGACATCCTCGCAAATCTGGGCTGGGATCCGAGAAGATGTGCGCAGGGTGGTCTGGTCCGTTTCGATTGGGACATTTTCGCAACTCTGAGCTTCGATATGCCGCGCGAGAGGTTGTCCAGTGAGTCCAGCCCGTTTCGCCTGAGATATACTCGCATCTCTGGGCTCTGAGCACATGTGCGCGAGGTGGCCCAGCCCATTTCACCTGAGACGTCCTCGCATAGATGGGCTCTTCGGTACTGCGCGCGAGGTGTTCCGGCCCGTTTCCCTGGTGATATTTTCGGAATTACGGTCTCCGAGAAGGAGGAGGGGTCAGATTCAAACGATCTCTGCCCTTACATTTCTTTTGTCGAATTGTGCGCTGGGAGCGGCGCCCTTTGTCTGAGGAAGGAGGTAGCCGGCGCCGAGGCGAGAGCACGATTCCTTTTGTAACACGCCAGGGCGTCTCAGGGGGGATCGCCAACTTTGAGCAGAGTGTGGAGATATCTCCAGTGATAGCGCTGTGTATCGTGAGGGGGCATGATGGATGAGGAAAAGCAAGATACGCAGGCATCCCTTGCATGTCTAAAGATGCGGCGGAAGCGGAGGATATGATAGATGGGGAGGAGAATACAGGAGAAGGAGGAGGACGAAGAAGATGACAAAGAGAACAAGAATGGATGAGGAGGATTATGAGGAATGCGAGGACTAGAAGGAGGAGGAGGAGGAGGAGAAGCCATGACGATGAGGAGGCGGAAAAGAAGCAGCGCGAGGAGGAGACGGATGTGACATAGCATTGCGAACATGAGGAGGACGAGGAGCACGAGCAGTACGAGGAGTACAAGAGTTGGAGGGAGGAGGAGGAGGAGGAAACTGATGACAAAGACTGCGATGGTTAGACAGAGAATGATCATGATTATGATGATGCTGCTGATGATGATTGGTGAATGATGATGATGGTGATGATGATGATGAAGATGATGCTCATGATGATGATGCTGGTGATGATGATGGTGGTGGTGGTGGTGCTGATGATGATGATGGTGGTGATGATGATGATGATGGTGATGGTGATGATGATGATGATGATGATGCTGCTGATGCTGATGATGATGATACTGATGATGATGATGATGATGCTGATGATGATGATGATGATGATGATGATGATGATGATGATGATGATGGTGGTGGTGGTGGTGGTGGTGGTGGTGGTGGTGGTGGTGGTGATGATGATGATGATGATGATGACGAGGAGGAGGAGGAGGAGGAACACGAGGAGAAGGAATGACACCACGAAGATGAGGAGGCTTCGTATGAGGAGGGGGCGAGGATAACCAGGAAAAAAAGTGCACGAGGTGCAGTGGAACGGGGGAGGGCGTTGGCGAGAAGGAGAATGGCGAGGATGAGTAGGAGGAGGCGGGGGACGATGATGAGGAGGAGGAGGAAGAGGAGGAATACCGGTGACGAAAAGCTCGACGACGGCGTCGAAGGCGCAGACCGACGGGGAGCAGGCGGACGCGCTAACATTCTTAGAAGTCACCTTGGCTTAAAAAGAGCTGGTTGGGGATATCGTTTTCTTCGCGACGAGTCGGGAGGGAGGAGAGAGGTAACATGATGAAGATAAGGAGAACGAGGAGGAGGAGGAGGAGGAGGAGGAGCAGCAAGAGACTGGAGGAAAGCAAACTATTGGGGGGTGATGGTGAGGAGGAGGAAGAGGAGGTGGCTGACGACGAGGAGAACATGCTAACATGCAATCGTGAATTATCCAGCTGCCTGCGGCCAGTCCCGCCACCGTGCCAGTCCAGCATTCTGGGTGGCGAATTTTTTTGAAGTGGGCTCCAGATGCCGTCACATGTGACACCGTCTTATAATCATCTTGCGCTACTGTGTGGCAGCCTTCGGGGCCATTAGGGGCCCTCTTGGGTCGTTGGGGGGCCCTCTTGTACCAGCTTGGGGCTCTCTTGGGCCGTCGTGGGGCCCATCGAGGGGGTCTCTTACGGCTGTCGCAGGGTCATCTTGGCACCGTCGAAGGGCCTTCTAAGGCTGCCTTGGGTCCCTCGGAAGTCACTCGCGTGCCAGCTTTGGGCTCTCTTGGGGCCGGGCAGGGGCGCTCTTGAGCAGTCTTGGGGCCAGAATGGCTGTCGAGGGAGTCTCTTACGGCTGTCGCAGGGTCATCTCGGAACCGTCGAAGGGCCTTCTAAGGCTGCCTTGGTCCCTCGGGAGGCCCTCGTGTGCCAGCTTTGGGCAGTCTTGGGGCCATTTAGAGGCGCTCTTGGGCAGTCTTAGGGCCGTTTGTGGATCACCTTCTGGGCCGCGTGGGCCGCCTTGAGCCTACATGCGACTATGCATGTGTATATATATATATATATATATATACATGTCTATGTATATATACACATACACTTAGCCACTCCCATGAAACCACGCAGATGTATGTACACACGCACACAAACTTGCACGAAACGATGAAAGTAGCCTAGCTAAGGTTCCTCGGGAATGCTGGGGATCTGCTTGGATCGACTACACGTAAGAGTGCCCCTTCGCCGGAGTGACCTTTGGTGCGCGCTCGGTGGGGTCCCTTGATCGCCGCGCTCTGTGCGATAGTAGCGCCTTGCGCGCTCGTGTTTGGCCTCCTCGCGCCCCCCAAAAAGCCGCGCACCAAAGGTCACTCTTGCCCAGGGTCACTCCTACGTGCAGCCGATTGGAGCCCTTCTGGGCCACCACGAGGCCATCTTGGGCCGCTTCGTCGCCATCGTGCGCAGGCCGTCTGGCAGGCATCCTGGGCCACGCCGGCAGGCCTGGGTGGCCTGCCTTGGCCGCCTTGGGAAAGCCTCGAGCATCCCGGGCTCCTCGGAGAGAGCTCCAGGGGGGCGTCGGGGCCCCCAGGGCGCAGCGCTCGGGAAGGAGGGGAGGGGAGGGGGGCAGTGCACGTTCGAGGGATCCCCTAGGAGATCGCAGAAGTCCGACCTGGCAGCACTTAACGCTCTACGAAAGTGCGACCCGGCCGCCTTGGGGAAGCCTCGCGAGCGTCCTGGGCTCCTCGGAGAGCTCCAGGGGGGCGTCGGGGCCCCATAGGGCGCAGCGTTCGGGAAGGAGGGAGGTGGGGTCGATTTTTTTCCGTAGAAAAAGAGGGACCGCCCGAGCTATAATTATCTTCCGATATTGTCGGGTGGGGTCGTTTTTTCCGAGTTGTCAATAAATGCGCCCGGAAGATATGTTTTTTCCATCTACTGGCCAGGGGATGTCTAAGGACCCATCGGGGGTAGTGCACGTTCGAGGGACCCCCTAGAAGATCACAGAAGTCCGACCTGGCAGCACTTAAAACATCCCACGACTCTTCCACGTGCCGAGGGGCACGGCGGCGGATGGGGAAGTTTCGGCAGGATCTGGGGGCGGGGGCATCTGGGGGTCCGCGGGGGTCGGGAGGACAGGATTCGGAAGTATCTGCGTGTCTCGCTTGTTTTCCTGGGGAAGGGGCCCGAGGTTTTGAGCTGCCTTTAGTAGCAGGGGTGATGAGGAGGACGATCGACTTCAAAGTTTCTGTGAGGTGGTGGGATGTTTCCAGCAGCTTCCCGTAGCAGAAAGGATGACGAGGCTGAGCAGGAGGAGGATCACATCGTTTTGGAGATACGGGGTGATCAAGATGAGGGGGGTGAGACGTAAAATGGAACGATGGCTGATTGTCTGTAAAGAGGCACGGATTGTTTGTTAGGACCAGGAAGAGGAAGGAGCCAGAAAGGAGTAGGAGGAGGAGGAGGAGGAAGAGGAGGAGGAGGAGGAGGATGGGAGAGAGGTGGAAGAAGAGGAGACAGGAGGAGTAGGGGGGGGGCGGGGAGGAGGAGAAGAAGGTGGGAGGGAGGCAAGGATCGACAGGAGGACGGAGAGAGGTAAGGACAGCAGGCAGTACTGGTTTGTTGAGAGACCCCCTTTGCTGTCCCTCCCTGCCCGCCCACTCCTCCTCATCCCTCCCCCCCCCTCTCCATCCCCCCGCCTCCCCTCCTCCTCCCGCCTCCCTCCCCAGAGGACCTGTTCGACTGCAGCGCGAACTTCGAGGACGGGTCCTGGAGGCCCGCGTGGGCCCCAAAGGAGGCTGGGCGGGAGAAGGCGCGGCCAGCCTCGACGACCATCGGTCGCCGAAAGGGAGATTGTCCTGCTCTCCAGGCGCCTTTCCATGTCAGAGTCGGGCAGTGCTCCCTCCTTCCTCCTCTTGGGTGGTCCCCAGAGGCCTGGACCCCCTCCGGGGCCAGCTTTTGCATCCCGAGCTGTTGTGTGGACGGTGCTCGGGCACCGTACGGGCCCCTGGGGGCCGAAAACGAGTGGAAGGGGGTCTCACGACGAGAGGCCGAAAACGACGCCAGATCACGAGCTCTGCGCTTCTGTTCACGACCTCGGCGCCGCGAGGCCAGTTCGACAGACACCCCTGGTGCCAACGTCCCCCCCCCTGCCCCCCGGTGACTTCCGGGATTGCCTCGGGAGGAGGTGTCCAGATTTCTCCGGAGGCTCTACAGGGGAGGCCCGCAAGAGGAGCCCTGCATCATCGACCTTCGAGCCTCGACCCTCGATGCTCGATCCTCGACGCGCGGCCCGGGATCCTCGATGCTCGGTCCCCCTCCTCCTCAGCCAGGGGCGCGCAGCAGGGGATGGCGCGAGGAGGCCGCCTCGTGGGAAAACTGGGGGCGTGCAGTGAGCACGCATGGTGAGGATGACCAACGTCTGAGGGTTGCCCTTGCATCCTCCCCCTTCGGCCCACCCTTGGCCGCTTCCGCTGGCCGCGCCCCGCTCGCAAAGCGCTGACATGGCCTTCCAAGGCCCTGGCATCCTTATGTATCGCGCGTTCTTGTTCACACGGGTTGACTGCCATCGAGGATGGAGACTGGAGGATCGAGAGGTCGAGGATCCAGGGTCCAGGATCGCATCGGGCCCCCCCTCCTCTGCGGGCCTCCTCCGGAGGCCCGAGGCGGGGAGGTGTCCACAACCATCGCCCGGGGGATCGATCTTTGGGGACCCCGGCAGGCGGCGGATGTGGATATATACACTCGGGCCCCCATGGGGGCAAGATGTATGCACACCCGCCGCCCGCAGGGCTCCCGTGGCGTCGGTGCCCTCCCTGCAGCGGTGGACATGGATCTCTGCCCCGCACGTGGAGGCGTCGTCCTGAGGCACCAGGGGTGGTCTCTGGGGGCGGAGGGAGAATTCCTCCTCCTCCTCCTCCTCCTCCTCCTCCTCCTCCTCCTCCTCCTCCTCCTCCTCCTCCTCCTCCTCCTCCCTCCCTCCCTGCCTGCCTGCCTGCCTGCCTGCCTCCTCCCTCCCTCCCTCCCTCCCTCCCTCCCTCCCTCCCTCCCTCCTTCCCTCCCCTCCCTCCCTCCCCCCTCCCTCGTCCACGACCCTCGTCCGCACATACCGAAGGCACAACTGGTCGGCAGGCCACAAGCTCTGGTGCTGCGGCGCGTACGCGCGCGGCTGCGACGGCGAGGACGGCGCCATCGACTGCGGGGCGGGCGAGCCCAAGGCTCTGGCCGCCAGGAAGCATTCCCGCACCCGTGCGGGCACCCTCGGAAGAGAAGCTCCTGGCCATTTTCCTCTTCCTCCTCTTACGATTCCTCCTCCTCCTCCTCCTCCTCCTCATCCTCATCATCATCATCATCATCATCATCATCATCATCATCATCATCATCATCATCATCATCATCATCATCATCATCATCATCTTGCTTATCCTCCTCCTTCTCCTCCTCCTCCTTCTTTTCCTCGTCCTCCTCCTCCCCCTCCTAATTACTCCTCCTCGTCCTCCTCGTCCTCCTCCCCCTCCCCCTCCTCCTTCTCCTCCTCCTCCTCCTCGCCTTGGTCGCACCCATCGCCTTGGTCGCACCCATCGCATGTCTTCGAAGGGTCCCAGCAAGGCCTTGTCGAGTTCGATGTGGACGGCGATCGGTGCGACTGTTTCGCCATCCGCGTCCTCGGGCAATTTTCGACTTGTGCTGACAGCGATCTCAGAGTGCGACCAATCAATGAGTTGGAGGCCAGCGACGGCCGCTCTCTTTCGGCGGCGCGATGGACGGCTCCTCTGCCGGGGCAAGGGGCCCCCGGGCGGGCCACGACGCCACAGGGGCGCCGCGCTTCCTCGCGGGCGACCTCCCAGCCATGGTCACGACGCCGACCTGGCAGCGAGCATCCGTAGACATGAGCCCTATCAGATGTGCAGATGACCTGAGCAAGACGGCGTTTTTTTCGGCCGCGGGCGAGGTGGCACTGCATCGGACCCCCCGCCCAAGCAACACCGGGTGGACGAGACGCCCAAGCGTGCATGTAGGCCCCGCTGCGGACGCGGCCACACTGCTGACGCACGCGTTCACTTGCGCGCCAGGCACGGCTTGCGCGCACTGCCCCGCGGGGCCAGGGTCGGCGGAGGCCATGGCCCGCGATGGGGGCAGCTCAAGGAGAGCGCGCGCGCTATTGGAAACATCTCATTCGCATGCTGGCCGCGGGGTGCCTCGAGACCGCGCGGCGACTCGAGGCGGCCAGGCTGGCCTTCTTCCGGTCGGGCGAGGTGCGCTCCTCAGGGCTGCGAAGCGCGTGGCGCCGAGCGCAATTATTGTACAGGGCCCCGCGGGCAGCGCGCTGCTGAGCGGACTTGGGCCCTTCGCGCTGCTGGGCCCCGAGAGTAACCGACTCGACGGGGGCGCCTCTCCCCTCGGCAGCCCATGCTGGGCGGCGCCCGCGCAGAGCCGCACTCGGGACATCGGACACGCTCGACCACGCCCCATGCCCTGCAGCGCTGGCGCCCGTCAGAGAGGCGGACGGACCTCCGCGCCAGCTAGTTCAAGTGGCACCGGCCCTGGGCACGCGACCCCGCAGCTCATTCCCGGCCCCTCCGCGCGCTTCTCCGCGCGCGGCGGGGGGGTCGCGCCTCGACCGAACCGCAACTGCGACGCGGTCCACCGACGGGCGCGGCTGCCCCATGGCCGCGGCAGACGGAATCTGACCTGAGAGCAGCGGCCTCTATCATGGACACCAGCAGCGTGGACAATATCCCAGTGAGTTTTATTTTGAACATGATTATTATTATTATTTCTATTATTATTATTATGATTATTATTATTATTCTTATTGTTGTTACCATTACTATTGTTATTATTGCTATTATTATTATTATGTTTATTATTACTATTATTATTAGTATTATTATTCTTGCTATTATTATTACTATTATTAAAAGTAGGATTACTATCGCGAGGTGGGAGGTGGCTTCGGAATCGCGACGCGGGATTCGGGGCGCCTGCGGGCGGCGCTACGCGCAGCGAGTTTACCGCTGCCAGGGGCGCGGATGCAGCCCCCCCCCGCCCCCCGGCCCCCCCAGTTAAGCTGTGTGGGGGGGGATTTCGAAGCCCGCTTCCTCGGGACTGGGATGGCGGGCGATGGCCGCGCCGACGACGACGGCAGGAGGCGCCGATGAGGACGGGGGGGCACTTCGTTGCGTTGCGAAGCTGGGACAAGGAGGGACGCGCGGGGTTCGGTGCAGTAGTGCCTTTCCCTTCAAACACACGACGCGACAACATGGCCTCCATGACCTGGCCAGCGTGTTGACCCTGTGAGATCATGCGCAGCGGGCGTAGACCGTCGTTCAAGATACAGACCACGGCCTGCCCGCCAGGATGGGCCGATGTGATGAGGGGGCTCTTGGGGCCACACCGCGACGCGACGAAGTTCTAAAAGATCCGCTGTCGCTGAAGTGCCCCATCTACACTCGCGAGGCTGGGGGCTTCCGCGATCTCTGCAGCCATCTGGGCAGCCATCTCCCGACCACTCCGAGGCCCGCGCCCGCGCCCGCGCCTCCTGCAGGCGGCACCTTCGGCGAGGATGCCGTCGGCGAAGCCATCGCGGCCCAGCCGGCCAACGCCACCGGGCGCCGCCAGGGGCGGCGGCGGGGGCGCAGCCGCGCCGGCGCCGACGCAGGCTCGCACGGGGGGGCAAGAAGGAGAAGGACGAGCCCCCGAAGCTGCCCCACGCCTTCTGGTCGCTCGGTGCTCGCGGCGCAGGCGCGCCGCGACAGGCCGCGCCCGCGCGCCCCCCTCTCGTGGGCACCCCCCCGCGAGGGCAGCGCGACCCTGCGCGCGGGCAGCGCGCCCCAGGAGCCCGCGGCCCGCCTCGCGTCGCGCGCGCCCCCGGCGGCCTTCTAGCGCGCGGCGCGTATCGCGCCGCGGCCCGGGGGCCAAGGCGCCGAAAAGACCGGCGCGCATCGAGGCCGCGCAGGCCTGGGAGTCGAGGGCCCCGACGATCGCAACGGCTGGAGGTGACGGCGGCGGCCCACGGCTTAAGGCCCAGGGCGCCGTGCGAGGAGGAGTCGCGGGAGCAGCGGCGCCTGACTGCCGCGAGCTCCCGCTTGACCACGAAGCTCGCCTCGACTGTTTGCCCCCGCATCCCAGACGCGACCAGGTCCGAAGGCGAAGTAGCAATCCGCGGCTCGGCGCCGCGGGGCCCGCTGGAAGGGGAGGCGCGCACACGGTGAGACAGGCGAATTGAATCATTCCGCCCTGGGACCTCGCGAAGGCGGTTGGAATACTACGCGGGGGCATGTGTTTCGCAGCTCGATTCGTCTGGCGGCGTTGGAGGTTCGGGGTATCATCGCTCCGAGACGGCGGCGCTGGCTCGCACGGGTTCCTGGAAAACCTGCAGCTACGAGGATGCGGGTCTGCGCGTTCATCCGCTAATCTACTTACTCGCCGCCCCCTTGGATCCGCTCGGGGGGTTGGGCATGTGGTGCCAGAATGGGTGGAGGGTGGTTGGGGGAAGAGGCGGTTGGAGGAAAAGGAGGAGGAGGAGGAGGAGGAGGAGGAGGAGGAGGAAGGAGGAGAGGAGGAGAGGAGGAGGAGGTAGGAGGAGGAGGAGGAGGAGAGGAGAGGAGGAGGAAGAGGGGGGGGAGGAGGAGGAGGACGAGGAGGAGAGGAGGAGGAGGGGAGGAGGAGGAGGAGGAGGAGGAGGAGGAGGAGGAGGGGGGAAGGGTTGGGCAGGCCCAGTCAGTTGACGCAAAGCAGAATCCAGAGCGCGCGGCCACGGCCGAGGCTCTCGAGGAGGGCGCGGGGGCCGCGGGCGCCGCGGAGGGAGAGGCTCGCCCTCGCGCTTGGGCGACCGCCCCCCGCAGGGCCGATTGCGTCGGGGCTTTGGGGGGGGCGGGCGCTCGCGGGCCTGCGCCCCGAGGGCGTCGCGTGGCGCACCGCGGCAACGGCAGGTGCAGGAGCACCGTGGGCTCCTGGAGGTTCGCTCGGTCGCTCCTCTTCCCTCCTCCCGGGGACGCTCGGCATCTCCCTGTCCCCCTCCTTCTCTTTCCTCCTCCTCCTCCTCCTCCTCCATCTCCTCCGAGTCTCCTCCTCTTGCTCCTCTTGCTCCTCCTCCTCCTCCTCCTCCTCCTCATCCTCATCCTCATCCTCATCCTCATCCTTCTCCTCCCCCTCGTCCTCCTCTTCTTCTGCCTTTCCCTGATAGATTCGCCGGCCCAGCGGGCCAGAGGCGTGTCAAGATCTCCGGTAGCTGCGTAGAGTATTTCTATTTCGCGCGCGGAGCGGCCAGTGGGAGTCTCCAGGCGAAAAGTATCCGGCCGGTCTGGGTCAGAGATCCCTGGCCGGGTCGGGTCGGGTGGGCGCTGCCCTCGAGGCCTCTCAGACAGCCCGAGGACGGGCCAAGTGGCCCCGAAGAGGCCCCCAAGATAGAACAAGAGGGTTCCGAGATGTTTCAGGATCGTTTCAAGATGCCCAAGATTGACCCTAGATGTTTCAAGAGGCTTCCAAAAGCACTCCCAAGAGGGCCCCAAGAGATAAAAGTAATGGATTGTCCCATGCGTTTTGGACAGATTTGGGCGTTTCCCGTTTTCGGCTTCCCGACGCCTCAAGACGGCCCAAGAGGTCTCCAAGATCGCCCCAAGAGGGTCGAAGAGGGCCCCAAGAGAGCCCCAACACGGCCCAAGAGGGCTCCAGGACCGCCCAAGACGACTCCAAGACGCCCCAAGAACGCCCCAAGAGAGGCCCCAGAGGGGGAACACGAAGCAAGATTTCAAGCCCTCGGCCATAAGCAGCTCTCAACAGGTCGCCAGAGGTCCCTAAGAGGGCCGAAGAGGCCCCCAACAGGCTGTCAGGAGGCCGCCAAGTGGCCCCCAAGAGCCCCAAAAAGGCTCCAAGTCAAGACCTAACTACCCGAAAGCCTCGGAGAACTCTATAGGAACTTCCTGTGCACTGCCTCCTGGTGCGCGAAAATGGGCCGGCGGAGCGAGCGAAGCGATTGATAGCAAGTTCTCCCTGTCGCACCCCGAGGCTACATCCCGATTCGCCCCCCACGCAACCTCCGCGTTCCCCCAAAAAAAGTGGGGCGGCGGTGTCTGCCCCCTCAGGGGCGTTCAATTAATAACAAGTTCTCCCTGTTGCACCCCGAGGCCAGTTTTCAGGGCGGGCCGGGCGTTTCGCCGGAGACTTCCTTACCATGTAGACTCTGAAGCTTAAGTATTGGCAACAGCTTCCCAGATGGACGGCGGGTGGTCTTCAGAATGTGGCTCCCGCCTTGGCGCGGCGCACATGCGCTCCACAAAAGTTAGAAGAATTTCACGAATTGAGGGCGGGTGGTGTTCAAGATGTGGCTCTCGCTTCCTAGCGCAGCGCTCCTTCGTATTACATATTTGCAAGAGCTTCACGGATTGAAGGCGGATGGTTTTCAACATGTGGCTCTCGCTTCAGCGCAGCGCACATTCGTATTACACTTGTGTAAGTGTTTCAAGGATTGAGGGCTGAGGGCGGGTGGTTTTCAAAATGCGTCTCTCGCTTTAGCGCGGCGCACATTCGTTTCAAACAATTGCAAGAGTTTCACGGGTCCCCATCATCAACGTACCAGAAACTATGTTTCGAATGGGTTCAGGACTATGTGGGTGCAACAGTCACGTTGGTTCTTTGTGTTGGAGTCCTTGGAATGGCGTCCTGGCGCGATTCAGGATCGTCAAGACGCAACAATCAGGTTGATCCGTGGCGTTGGAATCCCGAGAATAATGTTTTGGTATGCTTCCGGGTCTTCAAACGGTTGTCTTCCAACGAGGCAGTTCCCTCAATGGAAATGAATCGCTGTAGGGGCATATTAAGAGGGAGCTTGGAGGGAGGGTTTACTCTCACATCGTTGATGACTCCTGGGTTTACACTGGTCGTCCTCCTCCTCCTCCTTCTCCTCCTCCTCCTCCTCCTCCATCTAGACCCCCCCCGTTGTCCTCGTGCCTCCTTTTCTCATCATTCATTTCTCCCTCCCCGCTTGCCCTCTCCACGGGGCACGGGGGCAACCTCCTTGCCCGCCTCCCCGCGAAGGGGTGGACCTCGCAGAAGAGGACGTGGTGTTGCGAGAAGGAGTCCAAGGGCTGCCCGAGCAAGGCGAGGCCTCCCCCCCCACCCTAGAAACGACATTGACCGACAGAGGACCTGTGAAAGGTGTGAATTGCAGGGCGGGGCTAGTACCTCGCGCGTAACTAGGTGGCCTTCCGCCATCCGCCCCCCGTGCCTCCTCCGCCCTCCCTGCCAACGCTACCCCTCCTCCCGCCTGCCCCTTCCCCCCCATGCCCCCTCCCCCGCTTCCTCCCCGTCCCCATGCCCCGTCCGTACTCACCATCCCTTTTCCTCACCATCATCACTGCTCCCACTCTCCCCTCTCTCTCCTCTTCATCCTCCTCCTGCTTCCTCTCTCGTTCCTCCCTCGTTCCCCCTCCGCCGTCGTCCACCTCGCTCATCTTGGCATCCGTTTCTACCATATTCACCTCTACACGTCGGTCGCTGAAAGTAGATGTTCTTGGATTCCCAGATCCCCATCTACCGCAAGCGCCTTCCTGCTCCGAGAACCCTTATGCCTTTGCTGTGTCTTGCCGTTCTCTTGGAGGGCCTGAACCCGATCTCCCGTATCCGCCTTCCTGCTTCATGTTTTACCGACCGCCGCCTGGAGGATCAATTTTCGGGGACCTCGGCAGGCGGTGAATATGGAAGTCGTCGGGCCCCGGGGAGGCCAAACTATATCCATATCCACCGCCCGCTGGGGCACCAGGACGTCGGTTCCCAGGCGGCGAATACGGATAACACCTCGCCTCCCCCCCAGGCCCCTCCTGGGGTGCGTTCTTGAACCCAGCCCGTGGCGACGAAGACGCCCCAGGAGGCCCAGAGAGGGCGAACGACGCCCCGAAGCCTCGATCATCGAACCTCCACCCTGGATCCTCGAACCTCCTCCTCATCGTCGTCATCATCGTTACCATCATCACCATCATCATCATCATCATCATCATCATCATCATCATCATCATCATCATCATCATCATCATCATCATCATCATCATCATCATCATCATAATCATCATCATCATCATGATCATCATCATAAACATAAACATGATCATCGTCATCATCACCACCATCGCCACCATCATCATCAGCATCTTCATCATCATCATCATCATCTTCATCATCAGCATCATCATCGTCATCATCATCACCATCATCATCACTATCATCAGCAACAGCAGCAGCAGCAGTCATCTTCCGCCTCCCCCCCTCCACGGTATCAAGACTGGGTGGACAGAGCAACAGCACGCGACCGACGGGGCGCAGAGAGCGCCACGCGTGGTACGCCACGGGCGTTCGACGGTTGCCGCGAAGCGTCGCGGAGGCCCCCGCGCCCTGGAAGTAGGGCCGCTGCAGACCAGGAGCTCGGAAGGTGCAGCGGAGGCCCAGGCCAAGGGACACCCTGCCTGCCTCCAGGGTGCCCTGGGCTTCCTGGGCGTCGCTGGCTTTGCGAAGGGACAGCGGGACGCTCCCGCAGCAGAAAGCGATGGACGTCCCGGGGCCTCAGGGTTTGGGCCTCTTGCGGAAGGTGTCCTGTGGACTGGCCTCCACCGTACAGTTGTGGGGGGCACGAAGATTGGGGGAACGATTCTGCTCAGGGGCACTGTCTCCTCGGACGCGCCAGTGCCCTGGAAGATTAGAGTCTCCGTGTGCAGGCCCCCCAAGGCCTTGCCCAGACATCCGACGTCGTGATCTTTCCATACGGGACTCCTGGGAGTCCCGACCAGTTCCCCCGGGGCCCGTGGCCCATCCCGAGCCGTTGTTCCACCCTCGGACCTGGCGAGGGCCCTCGGAGGCCGAAAGCGGCCAGAAAACTCCCGTCGTGATTCTCGTCGCGACGCGAGCGTGTCTGTATGGCAGCTCGCCCTCCTCCGTCGGCGATGCGGCTCGATGTGGGGCCCGATCTTCTCCACGCTGGCGTCGCCGCTGCACGGCCGAGGTCGCTGACGCATCGCCGATGCATCGCGGATGTACCGCCGATGCAGCGGCGATGCGGCACGATCCTCCGACCCCACCGAACACGGCAGGTTCGCGCCGTGTCGAGCGGCGGCGACCCCGCCGCTGGCGGTCAACGTTGACCGCCGCCGGCGACTCAGAATTGGCCGATGCTAAACCACCTGACGCTTCGGGGACGGCCGATCCTTCCAGGTCGAGCGACCCCCGCGGTGTCAGGAACTATCGCTGGCTGGGTCGACACGGCACGAGCGCGCCGCACTCCGACCCTACTGTTTGAAGGCCCTACGGCCAGCCCTCCCTCCCGGCGGGGAGGGGACCGAAGGGAAGGGGCCTTCCTTTCGACTCGATGACGACGTTCCTCGATGTCTCGTTGGCTGGGACTTTTGAAGAGAAAGGTCCACGGACAGGGACAGGGACAGGGGGAAGCGGTAGCGGCGACAACGACGACAAGGACGACGACGACGACGTCGACGACGACGACGACTCGAGTGGAATAGCTTTTCACACACCCCGACAGGGTCCGACCCTGCCTGAGAGGCCTCTACACCAATCAAAGACACAATTGTACGATATCAAACTCTCCTGTTTTGGGGTGCCCCTACCCTGGTTGAGCGTGATTCAGTCCAGGGTTCTCCCTCTCGACACCCTGAGCAAAGGACGCATACGGAAGGAGACAAATCGCGCTGCACGCGTTGCAACTTGCTCTGCAACTCTGCTCCCCAGACATTGGACGTCCCGACTTTTTCAGGGCGGCGTCCCTGGAAGTCCCGACCCGTTCCCCGGCACCAGTTTTCCGTCCCGCGTCGTTCTCTGACGGCCCCGAGGCCCGGCGAGGGCCCCCCGGGGCCGAAAATGGCCAAAAACCTCACGTCTTTCTTTATATATATATATATATATAATATATATATTATATATATATATATATAATATATATATAAGAAAAAAACGACGACGCGAACCTGCCTGGTTCTGCCCTCCCACCGCTCCCCGAGGGATAGCCTGCGCGCCCAGCGCGCCCCTGGTGGCCTGGGCCGCAGCAGCTCGCGGAGGGGGCGCCTGCGCGGGGCACCGCCCTCGCGCCGGGCCTGGCGCCGCCCGCAGGCTCGCCTCTGCCCCCTCGGTGGCCCCTTGCTGGGAGGCAGTGGCGAAGCGTCCCGGCTCGCCTACAGCCCTGCCAAACAATGTCCTAGGAAACTTCTGTGGCTTCCAGGAGATGTTCTTCGAACATTTCTGGCTGGGGCTGTCTTGTTCTCACACATCGGGAGTCTGTTCTAAGAACCTCGTTTTTGTTCTCAGAACATTTTTGGGTTCTAAGAACATTTCGTGGTAGGACTATAGGAATGCCGGGACGGTCGGTCCCTGCTCAATTGCTGGCAGGGGGGGGGGAACAACAGGGACCATGACCAAGACCGAGCGCCAAGAACGTCGCGCTGGCCATCTTGGCCACCGTCCATCCCCAGGCGTCCTCGCGTCGAATAAAAAGCAGGATGGGAGGTTTTTGGCTATTGTCTGCCCCAGGGGTCAACAAAACGACTCGGGACGAAAAACCGGTCCCGGGGAAAGGGTCGGGACTTCCAGAGACGCCTTCCGGAAAAAGCAGGACGTCGCATGCCAGGGTTTCGGTCAGCCTCGCTTCGTGGACCGTCCGCCCGAATAATTAGGCGAAGGCTGGCATGGGCCATGACCAAGACCGGCGTCGACCAGATCCCGGGACATCCCGGTCATGGCCAGCACGTTTCTTCTCTCGACCTGCGGCGCGTGGATCGATCCCGCCGTCGCCGTCGCCGTCGCCGCGGTCGCCGCCGCCGCCGCAACGGCTTTTTTTTTGTCCTGAGATTATCCTCCTCCTCCTCCTCCTCCTCCTCCTCCTCCTCCTCCTCCTCCTCCGTCTCCTCCTCCTCCTCCTCCTCTTCCTCCTCCTCCTCCCTCTCCTCCTCCTCCTCCTCCTCCTCCTCCTCCTCCTCCTCCTCCTCCTCCTTCTCGGAGGCCTTCGGAGATTCCCCGGGGCTCGGGGCGGCTGCCAGAGCCAGTGCTCTCGTCCTGTAGGGCCCTCGTTGCCGCGGCCTGGCGTTCCTCCAGATTTTCTGGTCAGCATGCGTTTATAAGTCGGGCAGGAAGAACATTCAAAAATAGTTAAGAAATAGCTCAGGGGACGAAATTGGATTATTCTTGACTGGTTTGGAGCATTGCTTGATTATTCTTCGTGTGACTTCCGAACCTCGCCTGTAGGAGCACATGCACGACCTTCGAGCAGCGGGATCAGTACCTTGTGGCTCCCCCATCCTCACCAGCCCGATGCCCCCAAGGCTTCTGAGGGCCTCCGGACCCAGACATGCGCCGCTTTCAGGACGTCGCCCCCGGAAGTCTTTTGACCCCTTCCCCAGGACCGGTTCTTCGTCCCGAGTCGTTGTTCGACGGCCCCGCGGCCCGGCCAGTGCCCTCCGCGGAGCAACAAAAAAAACCTCCCGTCCTGATTTTTTCGTTACGACGCGAGCATGTCTGGGAACCAAGGCAGCAGCGCCCAGCTCTTGCGGGCCCCAGGCGCCTCGCGGCCGCGGCGCCGGCGCCAAGCCCCCCCCCCGGGCCACCGCGCTCGCGCTTCGGCGACCTCCTCGCGCGGGGCGGCGTGGTGCGCTGGCGGCGGCGCCGCCTGGGCGCCGCTGGTATGGGCCGCTCTGGCGTGTGTTTCCAGAGGGATTCCGAGCGCGAGAGCTGTATTGTGAACCCAGACGTGCTCGCGTCGTAGACAAAGCTGGACGGGAGGTTGTTTTTAGCTATTTTCGGCCCCAGGGGACCCTCGCCGGGCCTCGGGGCCGTTCAAAAACGACTCGGTACGAAAAACCGATCCCGGGGAAAGGGTCGGGGCTTCCAGGGACGCCGCCCTGAAAAATCAGGACGTCGCATGTCTGGGGAGGGATTCTGAGCGCGGGAGCTGTATTATGAAGGCCTTACGGCCAGCGCCGCCGACCCTGAAGGGGTGAGCCGGAGGCGATTGGGAGAAAGCTTCTGCCAGGGAGGGTTTCTCCACCACGGGGGAGCACTAGCGCCGCTGGGGGGCCGCTTTGCCGAAGGGATTCTGAGTGCGGGAGCTGTACAGTGCCGTTTTTAATACATGCTCCGCGTGCGGATCATGTATCTAAAATGCAGGGATTAGTATTAAAACAACGATGAGTTCATGTAAGATTCATTCGTGCATTTGTCATGTATTAAAATCCCATGCTTTTAAACATCCCATGTATTAAACACTGCCCTGAATTGTGCAGGCCTTACGGCAGGTGCCGCTGCCTTCGACCCTGAAGGCGGGGCCTCCCCCTTCGCCACGGCCGGGGCTACAGGGCCGCCCCCCCCCCCCCGAAGGGGGGAACCCCGCCCTGTCCCTCCGGGGACCTGCCAGACCCCCGGGGGGCGGCAATCTGACACGGGACCCCCCTTCCCTATACCCCCCTCCCGACCCCCTTTGTCAGGGAAAGGTCAAGGGAAGGGCATCGTCTCATGTACGACGCTTCTCTTCTCTGCTCGTTCCTCCATCTTCTTGGGACTGACGGCGACAGCGTCTCATAATTACACGCCGAAGGGTCGGCTGATTTTTTGTTCCGTCTGAGATGCGCGTAGGCGGGTAGGCCGCGATTCGAGCGCCCGGCGCGCCTCGTCATGCAGGGTGGGAGGTGGAGGAGCAGGAGGGCATCCTTCAAGGCCTCCCCGATGGGGTCGGAGTACAAAAGGGGTCGGAGGATCGCGCCGTATCCTCGATGCATCGGCGATGCAGCTCGGTCTGGAGCCCGATATTCTCCGCGCGGGCGTCGCCAAGGTATCACCGGTGCATCGGCGACGCGGCGCGAGCCGCCGACCTCGTCCACTCCGAGCCCACCTATAGGAGGCCTCTACTCCCTTGTGTGATGCTGGCAGGCTTGGGAGGGGCAAAACGCTCCGAAGTGCACGCAGGTGCCCTCCCGAAGGGAGCCCGCACCGCCCGCGACGGATGCCATTCTGCTCGGGCGAATGGCCCCGTCGATTCCTGGTGCGCCACTCCGACTAATGCCATCCCGCTCGGGCATCGGCCGACCTCCTGTGAGTCTCGACCTCGGCCGAGATGCGGCGCCGACCCCGTCACGCAGCGACGCCCAGGAGGAGGAAGGAGGGCCCAGAGGGACCAGGTAGGGAGGAGGGAGGAGGAGGGAGGGAGGAGGAGGGAGGGGGAGGGAGGGAGGGAGGGAGGGAGGAAGGAGGAGCGACGCCCAGGAGGAGGAAGGAGGGAGGAGGAGGGAGGAGGCACCGTGGAGGAGGGAAGGACTTGCTCGTGGCAGCGTGGAGGAGGAGGGAGGGCCCAGGCCTCCGACGTCGCCACCTGTTCACCACGGGCGCGGGCGGCAGGCAACGGGGCCGACTGCGCCGACACTGGCGCGTGAGCTGCCCGCGTGAGATCGCGCGCGAGCGTCCTCGCGTCCAGTGCGGCGTGCCGCGCCGGCGGCCCGCGCAAGACGCCGCGTGAGGTCGCCGTGCCATCTCGCGTAAGACCCTTCTTTGATCGTCGCCCACGTGGGCCCTGGAAGCCCCGGCCAGCGGGCTGCTCTCCAGCCCGAGCCTTTTCGACGGGCCTGGGGCCCGGCGAGGGCCCCTGGAGGCAGAAGATTATGAAAAGCTGGCCGTCGCACTTATTCGTGGCAAAGGGAGGCAGTGCAGAGCGAGGGGAGGGAGGAGGAGGAGGAGGAGGAGGCGGAGGAGGAGGAGAAGGAGGAGGAGGAGCAGCAGGAGGAGGAGGAGGATGAGGAGTGAGGAGTGAGGAGTGAGGAGGAGTGAGGAGATGCAACCGCCTCCATTCTCATCCCTCCCTCCCCCTCGTCCCTCCCTCTTCCCTCCCTCCTCCTCCATAAGTAGAGGCAGCATTCACACGGTCTGGCGCTTGCGCGCAGCCGCTCAGACAAGAAGATGGTACCACTTGCGCTGCTCGTCCTGGAGAGCCCTAGTCGCTACGGCTGCCTTCTCCCCGAAATCTTGGTCAGAATGCACCCTGGGAGAGGTCTGGGGAGCAGCGGTATCTTCGGGGGGGGGGCCCAAACGGGATGGTTACCAAACCATGTGGTGAGTCGGTGAGGATTCGGGGTCACCATAATTCTGGTTTTGGGACTTGGGTCGTTCTCCGAGGATTTCTTGGTCGACTGGGGCCTCCAGGGTCCCAAAACCGTGTGGTGACGGACCCTGCGGTGAGGTCCTCGCGGATTTCGAGGTCACCGCCGGGTCTGTCACCACACGGCGTTGGGACCCCCAATATCTGTATGTACCCTCTTTGCCTCCCGAGCCGCGGTGCAGGATTGGGCAGGGGAGGCGAGGGGGGGGGGGGGGGGGCGGGAAAGCACGAGCGCAGGGCCGACCGAGGCGCTCCGCCTTCGCTTGCGTCCAGTCGGGCATGTCCCTCTACAGGAGGAATGTTCAAAAATAGTGAAGACAAGTCGGGGGACGATTCTTCGACTATGCTTCGTTATGCTTGGTAATAATTTGGTTACTTCCGATTTTGTCCTAAAACATCGGCCTGTAGGAGGACATGCCCGACCTAACGCTGGCGTCCCGAGCCACGGGACGGTCCGCTCGGCAGCGTGTTCCCTCAGAGGAAGGAGGAAACCGGAAGACTAACATGTGCATCAACACATACTCGGAGGTCCGCGCGGACCTCCGAGCATGCATGCTTGTGCAGGTCACGCCTCTGCTTCTGATTCTTCTTCTGAGAAACAGGTGGAAGAGCAGGAGGACGAGGACCGGCAGGCGGGAAACGGAGGAGAAGAAAAGGGATGATGGGGGAGGAAGAGGAGGAGGAGGAGGAGGAGGAGGAAGAGGAGGAGGAGGAGGAGGAGGAGGAGGAGGAGGAGGAGGAGGAGGGGGCCTGAGGGAAAAGGGACTAGGGAGGAAGAAGGTGGGCACTGATCTGGGCTTCCCAGTGTAATCATGCACAGCTCGCGCGTCGATGCCGAGTCAGACCCTACAGCTCGCCCAAGCGATTTTGCCAGATGCGGTGTCAGTTCCCTCTGTGCAGGGCGTCTGGAGCCAAGTTGCAGACGTCCTAGTCCCGAACTCCTCGCAGCACAGTGTAGCGTAGCTTTGAGATGA